CTTTTATGTAATGAAAATGTTTCTGTATTGTTCTGCAGAGTCTCGCTTCCTTTTGTCAGTGGATGAGGACAATATGACTAAACAACCTGGGGTACAGGCATTCTGTGTTCTTGGTTAATTCTGTTTATTAATTAACACCTCAAGGTAATACATTAATTGCCACCTACAAATCCTCTGTAAACAATTTTAATACTGCTTACACTGCGGTTTTGGCTCTCTTGTACGTCACATTAAGTGCGTCAGTGTGTCTTTGGGGAGGTATGTGTGCCTGTCCTTTGGGGTTAGGAGGCGTTTTGTTTTGTGTTCATCATTTTTTGCTCTGTGATGCTGTACAGAACCTGCGATGGATGGCCCCAGAGGTGTTTACACAGTGTACACGCTACACGGTGAAAGCAGACATGTTCAGCTATGCCCTCTGCTTATGGGAGTTGCTCACGGGCGAGATTCCATTTGCACATCTCAAACCAGGCATGCACTGCACCTCTCTATTCACTACTGTAATAGCTAATATTGACCCACAATGCTAAGAATGGATCCAAAAATGTTTTTTTTAAACGTTATCCATTAAGTTATGAAAACATTATTTCTGAATTTTCTCCTAGGTTAAAAATCGGTTTTATTATTCTTTGAAGTTTATGGGAAAGTTACTTTTGAATGCTCTCTAAAACATTCTGAAAGAAATAGCAACATTTTAAAAAATTTTTAGGTGAACTCCAAAACAATGAAATAAAAATGTTGTGCTAACGTTTTGAGAACATTATCAAAGACCAGATAACTTTGAACAAGGATTCTATTAATGTTACTCGAAGAATGTTTGTTTGTAACCTTGCTAGAATATTTTTCTCACGCAGAGAAAAATCGCGACACAAAGGACATTGACAGTGACAGAAAAGGTTACTTTTGATATGAGATAAATTCTCAGCTTGCAGATTCTGTCAATGTCTATTTTATTTAGATGTTCAAACAATAAATACCGTTTTGGCGCTTGTAAATGTGACGTGACAGATCGTTGTAGAGCCAGCTCAAGCAGCACGTGAACCGATCATCTAGTAAATAAACACGAATGAACAATGTTGAAAGAGGCAGTACAACTTACCGAAATGTATTCCTCATGCTGCATAATATCATCTACCAATAAGTGTTTTTCAACCGAGGGAAGAGGTCAATATGCACCAGAGAAACGTGGGCGCCGTCATCTTTTGAATATTGTCTTTGAACTTCCGGTTTTGCGGTCACTCGCTGTCGAGGAGTAATTAGCTGGTGAAGTGGATTTAGTTATTGTAGAGTAAACAAAAGTTATCATGAACATTGTAATGTTTATCATGATCATTGTAAAGTAGATGTCTTAACAAATGTCAACCGGGAAATGTTTTACGAGCAGTTCATTCATACCTGCAAGATCGCTGTGGAGATACAGACCGGAAGTCAAATGACATGAGCGCAACGCTGAAAAGGGGCTAATTTTTCTAGACAACCAGTCATTAAATGGCTTTCCTGAGGAAATTGCTAAATTGCCAAATTGTGATAATTGTGTCAAGCAATAGCCCAATAAAAACAGTAGCATACCAGTCATAGGCTCCCATGTGAACATTGTAGCATGTTGTCCTAGTAAAATTATGTTTAGTTACCGACATTGTCATACCCATGCCATTCACTCCGAGAGTTGTCATGAAAGAACTTTTTTGGGGGGGGACTGGAAATTCATTCTTACCTGAATTGTCTGGCTTTGAAAAGCAAGATGAATTATAAACTATTCAATTATAGTTAAATTATTAAATTAAATGTTATTAGAATTAATTGTGACTACATTTGAATTAAAAAGACCTCACCCCCATCTGCGTGAATTCTTTACAGCTGCAGCCGCTGCAGATATGGCATATCATCATGTCCGTCCTCCGATTGGATACTCAATCCCCAAACCCATCTCAGCACTGCTGATGAGGGGCTGGAATTCCTGTCCAGAGGTGAGGGACCCACATCTAGCATAACTATGTCCAGAAAAGAAATATAATAGGTTTATGCTCAAATATAATAGGTTTATCATGAGCATGCACATTCACTATGAACTTTATTTAGCTGTGATTTGGTATTTTAAAATAATGTATTACACCCATTCTATTACATCCATTCATGAACTACCTCTCTGTTTCAATCGGTCAGAATACCTGACTATCTCAGGTATTCTGACTGATTATGAGAGAGTGGGCTATCTCTGGAGATAGTCCAGTTCAGGACAGGTTTTATTTCTATTCCTGTTAATAATGAGCATTAGCTGCTTGCCTACATACCATGTTTTTCTCTACAACAAAGCTGTGCCAGGTGTTTTCTCAAGAACAGCATCTTTGCAATGTTCTCAGAGCTGGTCCCTCAGGTGTGTGGCAGAAACTGTGTCAAGTGTGCTTGTTAAGAATGTGCCCTGGAACAAAGTGCAGCTTGACACTATTCTCTGTAGAGCACAGAGCTTTTGCTGAGCAACACTTGAAAAGAGCCAGGATATTTACAGCTTGTACTGTGCATTCATGTAGTGTTGATTAAAGAGCTAAATAACATAGTGTGTGTGTATTGGTTGCAGCAAGGACAGTAGTGAGGAAAAATCTATATGTAACAGTCACTTTATTTAACAATAAATTAAAACTAAAAAACACACAGGAGCTCAGGAGAACACAGGAATGCAGGCGAATCAGAACCAACTATACAGACTCTGCATGAAATGTCCAACATTCCACATAGTAAAAACATTAATATTATGAAATATATATATATATATATATATATATATATATATATATATATTACATTTTTTATTATTCCTGTGTGAAGCTGAATTTTCAGTATCATTACTGCTCAGGAAAATGTTGTTCTGCTTTAATATTTTAGCAGAAACGGTAATCTACTTTTTGCAGAAACGGTTTTCTACTTATTAGTTGATAAATACATAGTTCAAAAGAACAGAATCTATTTGAAATAGATTTTTGTATCAATGTAAATGTCCTTACTCTCAATGTCACTTTTGATCAATTTAGTGAATCCTTTCTAAATCGTAGAAATCGAAGAAAAAAATCTACTAACCCCAAACTTTTTAACAGTAATTTATGCTCTTCAGCAGAGCAGATGATTGGATAGCTAGAGATAAGTTTCTGTACTTTTAAACAAACGTCTCTGATGAAAATCCCCTATTTTTGACTCTCTGTGACAGGAAAGACCTGAGTTTTCCGAGGTGGTTGCCAAACTAGAGGAATGCCTGTGTAACGTGGAGGTAGGTTGCATGCACATAACCCATATATCCACTATACAGTGCTATTCTATTTGTCTAGTACATGTTCATATATGTTTCTATGTGTGTTCAGCTTATGTCTCCAGCCTCCAGTAACAGCAGTGGTTCTCTTTCACCCTCATCCTCCATGGACAGCCTGGTAGCACGTGGCAGTCCTGGACGGAGTCATGTGGCTGCCCTCCGCTCGCGTTTCGAGTTGGAATACGCCCTTAACGCCCGTGCCTATGCATTTTGGACCCAGAAGTACACATACAAACACTCAAGCACCCTAAATTTACCATACTATTCAAGAATGAGACCATAATATTGCAAAAAGAAGAGCCCAGCCACCGGCCTATTGCCAAACCACAATGAGACAATCCTGAAAAAAACTGATTTAAAATAAAAACTAAATATAGGCCATTACCCATGCATTAGTGGACGAGTTAGGTCACGTTGCTCTTTTGTTTGGTCAGTGTCATGTCCAACCACAACACTTCTGTACAGTCTGAAGTGCTGTTGCTTGGAAACCGAGTCATGAAAACAAAAGAAAGTGACTGCAATGAAACTTGCATGACATTCACACTGAGATCCTTTGCTGGTGGTCACCTCTCAATTCTTTATGGGTGGTGATGAATGTGTGTGTTGTGGGGGAACCTGGCAACTGTCAACAATCCCGCCAACAAATTACAACAACATGGGACTTTCGAGTCTAATTTAGTTATAATCTTTGCAATATGTTTTATGAAACTAGATATAGCAATGTAAGCAGTTTGGTGGTATGAGCAATAAATAAGGCTAAAGTGACACTGCGAATGACTAACGAAAAAAAATAGAGGATCATCTGAGCAGGACAAACCCTGCAAGGCCTCATTGAGCTGATATGACAACAACACAGAAACAGAAGTGTATCCCATTTAGCGTCATTAAAATTTTATATCACGGATGAATCGTAATTGTTCTGTGATCTTTAGCGTAAACTGATACTAATCTCATTGCTGAATCAAGCCTTTCTTCTTTTGACAGCTCTGGTCGGAGGTCTTCACAGGGTTTGTCACTGGATGAGCTGAGGAGAAACATGCAGTTCCCACCCATTGACAGAAACGGTTTGTGTCCAACTGGAAGTTATCAAATGTGTGATTCATTTGTTTATGTAACGGCTTAATGTGGGGCAACATTGTTTTTGCATTTTAATATACATGGAATATGGCAACAATCATGTTGATATAATCCACGCAAATTCATTCTGAGGTTAAAATGACTTTTCCACAGAGCTGCAAAGATGTTTTTCAGCAAATGGTGGTTGCTTTTGAGTGCGTGTCAGTCACTGTGTTCTGTGTTATTCCCCACAGGATATGTGTCAGATCCCATGAGCACCATGCGTTTCCATTCATGCAGCAGCAATGGAAGTTTTGAGGACAGCAACTAGAAGCAGAAACTGTCTGAAGAACATCACACGCAAACAAATACTTGCATTCATGATATGTCTAAATGACCGTAATCAACCAAATGGCAAGACAAATGTTGATCAACATCAAAACCTCACAAGGAATTTTTTTTGTAATTTTTTCTTTTGTATAATTATAATGCATAATGTGGTGTTACATTCAGTATACATACAACTACTGTCAAAAACTTTTGTACAAGGGTTTTTTTATATTGTGTTTGGTGTTTAAATGTAAAGACAAATGAGTCAATATTTTATTCAAATTCCAAAAGAAAACATTAACCTTTTTTGACAAATGAGTCAATGTGTGAAACAGGAGCTTGACAGGTTATCTAAAACAGATAATGAATGATGTCACCTAACAACATAGGTACTATTAGAGCAATTTGGCCTTGCTTCTGGGGTTGAAACATTCTAATGTATCATAGGAATGTATGTGAACTGATCATGTACTACACCATTAAACTAGTTCCAGAAAAACTGTTCAACAGCAAATTAACGTGTTCCGGATACTAATTAGGAAAGTGCAGGTTTTTGGTTTTTGTTAATTTTTCTTAGTTAAGGTATGCATGTCTGAAGTGGGTCGATATACTGCTAGTGCAGCCTAACCAACTGGAGGGCTCCGCATCATGAATAATTAAATTATTTGTGCAGCGTGCGTCCTACGGTGTCTATTTTCAGTGGGATGTTGATAGCTTCCCTACCAAGCACACAAGACTCACTATGGGTCTCTGATAAGGAAAAGGAAGTGCCATTATTTTAAACCCATTAACATGGGTTGAGGCAGGGGTATCCAATCCTTCTCGAGGGTTTTGCTCAAACTGACCACTATACACCTGTGATGGACGTTTCTAGTAATCCTTGATTAACTGGTTCAAATATGTTTAATTGGGGTTAGACCTAAACTCTGCAGGACAGTGGCCCAGCAGAAGTAGGATTGGACACCCCTGGGTTAGGTGAAAGATTTACTATTGTACTAATAGCTGTTCTCCGTGTGAGCAGTCGTTAATCTAGGATATCCCGTGGGCCCAAAAAATCTTGAATCATCCAATGGGAAAGTACTTAAGGTCTCTGTGCTTAGAGTCTGTTTGAAATGGCCATCAATTACTTTAGTTCTTCTGTTTCCATTCACGTTCCTGCTTCCATCTGACTGTCTGGAATGGTAGTCTACACTTGCTGTGTCATCTTGGCTCCCATTCTCCGATTTATTGACAATTGTGCGGTCTGTAATTACAGTGATTGTGGGACTCTGTGGCTCAATATGCTCTGACTGAGGTACATGCTCAGGTTTCAAATTGTCTTCCGAACTCTCCAAGTTCTCTTTGTTACTTGCTTCCTCTGTTTGGTCTAAATGTTTGGCTTCATCAGTCATATTTTGTTGATTACTTTGGTCAGTCTCTTTTGCATTCAGGTCGACATTTCTAGGTACATTCTGTTGTTCTTGAATGTCTTCAGATGTTGCTGTTATCCCCATGTTTATGACGTCATCTGACGTCAAAGTTTCTTGTCTAGCAGTGTCTTTTTGATTGGTGTCTTCATTATTACTCTGTCTTGACCAGGAAGTGGCCAAAGAACCTCTAGTATCTCCAGCCTCCTGGACATTTTCATCTTTGGTTAAGCTATGTATGCTGTCATTAGAGTGATTACTGTAAGCATCTGCCTCTATGGCCTCAACTTTAGTCACTGTTTTGAAGCTTTCAACTATAGACTCTGTGTTCTCATTGAGGTTGTTCCTTATGGGAGTTGCAGTTTCATCTCTACTCTTGAGTGTTTCATCAAGGCCCCCAATATCAGTACTTGGTGGTGTATCTGTAACATCTAACACTTCACCGTTTAGTCTCTCCTCTGTTTCTTCCGAGATGAGACCCTCTTCATCGAGGGGTTCGATGAATGTCTGAAAATACTTTGATTCTTGGTGTATGTTAATCCAGTTACTCACTAGATCCACCCCAACTACTTTAGTTAAAGCTGCTGAATGATCATCAAGATCATCTGAATTAATGCTCAGAACTGGATCTTTGTCCTCTTTTTTGACTTTCTTCACAGGTTCTGATTCCACCGTATGGGAAACTGATGAGCCACTCTCTTCATTGACAAGATTCCCTTGCTTCTCCAAAGGTTGCACTTGATCACCATCCATCCCTCCTTCAGGAGCATCTCTACTTATTAGTTCGTCGTCTGTACCTTTCAGTTCTGGTTCCTCTTCTGTGACTTTAGCTTCGGCTGAGACAATCTCACTTTCTGTATCCTTATTGGCCATCGTCTGTGTTATCTGAGGAGTTATGTTTTCTATGAATGTTGTTGCAGAGGTTTCTGATTCTTTGTCATCCTCTTTGTCAGCTCTTTGGTTGTCACTGCCCTGGTCCTCCTGTTCACTGCCCAACTGAGACTCTCTCTCTGAGGGAAGATCTTGAGCATTCACCTTGTTTTCTATCTCTTGCTCTTTGTCATTACCATTTTCTTCTTCTTTCACATCTTTATCAGTCTCTGTCTTTTCAGTGTTATCTATAACTTCTTGAGTACTATCACCAGTTGTCTCACCCTCTGATTTGTCTCGCGTTTCCTCTTGGAGATATTCTTCCACCATATCAGACCCTTCAAGATCTTGTCCCTCTCCATTTTTAGCATCTACGTTCCTATCCACCAGTTCATTATTCACCCCAGCAAGTTCATCCAGTTCTTCCTTGGTACTGGCCACTGTTTCATCCTCGAGCGTCCCGCTGGAACCCATTTCTTTTTGTTCTTCCTGTGAACCTGATTCCTCATTTCTGTCCTCAAAGTTGTCTTCTAATTTTGTATTCTCACCAGAAACAGCCTCTTTTCCATCACCTGCCTCCAATGTATTCTCACTAATCTCGTTTGTATCTGCCATCTCATTCTCTTGCTCTTCTATAAACTTTTCTCCTGTTTCTAACTCATTCTCATGCTCTTTGTCTTTTGCCTCATTCTCTACACAGTTTCCATCTGTTCCCGCTGCCATCTCATCCACCTTCCCGTCCTCTTCCTGAGACCTATTTTCCATCTTTTCATCTTTCCCTTTCTTAATTTCTTCTCCAATCTCAACCTCACTGTTTGGTTTCTCGTACCCCTCTTCCTCAGCTCCATCACTAAGTATGTTTTTAACCTGTTCTCCATCTTCTGGTTCTTTTTGCTTATCATTCATACCATCATCCTCTTTTTCATTACCCTCTGCCCTAACACTTTGAGTTTCCTGTGACTCATTAAGTTTATTTATAACCTCAATAGACAGTTTTCCATCTTCACTTTCTTTATGTTCATCATTCACACCATCCTTGTCTTTTTCTGTACTGTCCCTATTTTGTTTATCTTCTGCTTTTGAATCTTGATCACTTTCTAACTCATTATCTTTCTCTCCAACTTGTATCTCTTCTTCTTCCCCGGGTTTCTCCTCTATTCCCAGATCTTCACTTGTATCCTCAACCTCTAGCATTTTTGTCTCTTCTATCTCTTCACTAGATTTTTCACCATCTTCTTCCTCACCAACAGAGCCCCCACCACCCACCTTGCCACCTGTCTCCTGTACCATTTCCCCAGTTGACCTTTCATCCCCAGCCTCATCTGCTAGGTCTTCTCTTTCATCTCTGTCTGGCTGTCCGTCGCTCCTTCTCTCTATGTTCTGATCTGCGTCATCAGCGTCTGGCTGCCTCTGAGTGTCACCTGCCCCTGTTTGTGTATCATTCTCTGTATGAGATACCGAATCCATCTCCTCCATCTCTGGAACCTCAGTGTCTGTATTTCCAGTGTCCAGCATTTCAGTATGCCTCTCTGGCTCCTGTACTAATACGTCTTTCTCTTCTTCTTTAAACTCCGGATTAACCTCTGCATTTGTATTGTTCTCATCCATATCTTTCCCCTGCATATCTTCAGTCTCAGTTTTTACTTCCTCTCTTTTATCTGGTTGTTCAACTTCATTTGTCCTCGCACTTTGTTCGTCCTTCTGCGTTTCCTCTATGTCTAAACTTACTGCTGCCTCCTGAGTCTCTCCTATTTCTTTTCTTTCTTCTTCTATGTGGACATGAGGCTCTTGTGCCGTTTCCTCACATAGAGACTCTCGTGTGTTGGCTTGACCTTTCTCTGAAATTTCATCCAGTGTGTTTGATGGTTGTGGTGAGGTCAAAGCCACCTCACTCTCCATTTCTGCTCCTGTAAAAGTGAGCATTTACAATTAAACCATTTCAGATTTAATCATATGAAGTAATTCGTCATTGAGCTTTATATATTATCTGTAGACTGCCCAATTAAAGAGGGCGGCAACTTTTTTACCTTGGGCGTCCTGTTGGGTCTTCACTGAGGCCCCTTCATCTTCCTCTGTGCTTGTATCACTAAACTCTGGCTCTGAACTACATTGAGATTCCTTTAAAATGGCCTCAGCCAACTTTTCTTGCATTGACTTGGCTGTTTATAGTCACGGGAAATGAGACGTGAATTTGGCATCCATGGCAAAATGTTAATGTTAAATAAACAAGTAAATAAATTAATAACAGTCACACACTCAGTGGGATGAATTTCATTTAAAATGTATTTAAAAATAAAACACAGAAGCAATGAAACACAAAAATAATTGTGTAAATGAAATAATTGCTCAAAGGTTTATTACCAAAAGCACAGCAAACACTTGGAAACACCGGAAACACCGTATGCAGGGAACGATCACTTAAATGCTTTCACACAGGACAGATGTCCGAAAATAGGATCCATAACCATCTCTGATGGGAATACACATGGATTTTGCACAACCTTGAATTTATCTTGAAGTGTACCAATTAAGCCAAACCTTGTATTTAGTCATGTGTAATAGAAAACACATCAAAAATGGTTATATGCACATTTAAATGGTTCAAACATGTTGAAATCAGAAACTTAAAGACAAAATCACAAGTAGAAAACACTGCTCTGTTTTCCCACTCATTAAACTAGCAAATCCTCAAGAGCCAACAAGTAATGCATACTGCTGTTTATAGATTTGGTTGTTTTGCAGTGACTTGGAATATTTTGAAATCCAAGAAGTATTTCAAAATGAAGTCTAAACATTCTTTATGGATTGTGAAAGTCAAGACAGAGGTTTATACTGAGCAGTATGCTTACGTCAACACAAATAACATGCAATCAAAAACACATTTGATGCCACATAGAAAACACAAAACCAATCAATACAATGACGTTTGCAAGACCACCTAGAGTTAAACAAACTCTCTTGACAATTACACAGAAGTGTGCTTTTAACACAATCAGAACTCAAGTCTGTGTTGGTGGGGTTATGTACTTGCAATAAACCATGCCATCATCTTAACTATCCTCTCCTCAGGTAACTATTTCAGGCAATGTTGTGTTTTCAAAATTTTCTGTAGTTAAAGCTTGAGTATTATTGAAAAATTTAGCAAAAATGTTAACGATATTAAAGTCGAAATATTTCAATATTAAAGTCAAAATATTCCGTTATTAAAGTCTAAACATTACGACAATAAAGTCGTAATATTTTGAGAATAAAGCCAAAATTACAAGAAGTCTTCCATAGAAGTTTTTGTGTGCATGTGTGTAAGGAAATGCACTCGTAAAGTCAGACTGTCTCGGACATGGATCTAAGCAAAATAGTAGCTTTTTTCTTTTATCTGGGCTTTCAACAAAAGTAAATTCTACCTACAGGTGCCAATCTACTAACATGTGTTGCGTCACCATCAAATAAATTGAACCATAAGCATTTGTTTTAGGATGTTACAAAATATATACTGTGCCGGAATATACTTTACAGGTGCATATTCTGGGATCAGTAAAGTATATCGTGGGATCAGGCCAAATGATTGGATACAAATTACAAAATGATGCACTTAAAATGTATCCAGAAAGTTTTTACAGTGAAGAGGGAGACAGTACGGTTACTTTTAAGTGTTCTCGACCCAGATGATGTTGCCTATAGACGAGCAAAAAGACACGTAGGCTTCGAGTCAACGTGCCACATAAAGTTTGGACCAGGATTGTGGTACCTACTCCGGCAGAGTCTTCGTGCTCGTCTATTTAGATCCAACAGAAGCGCATTTTCCTTTTTTTTTTTTTTACAAAAAACTTCTACAGAACACTGTATTCTCATAACTTTATTTTCAAATTATTACGACTTTATTCTCGAAATATTTCAACTTTATTCTCGAAATTTGATGACTTTATTCTCTAAATATTTTGACTTTAATCTAGAAATATTTCGACTTTAATCTAGAAATATATCAACTTTATTATAGAAATATTTTGACTTTAATTGCGAAATGCTAAGATTTTATTTAATTTTTTTACTGTTTGTTTATTGTTTTTATGTTGCTCCAGTTCTGATGTTGAAAAAGCCAACATGCATAAACACAAAATGTCTGATGATGCCAGGCACACAGCACTAGTTTTCATGCAGACACTGACCTCTCTCTGGCTCGATCTCTTGTGGCTTATCTTCAGGTTTGGCATCCTCCCCAGATTGTTCACCTTCAGTTCCCTCTTTCTTGTCTGTGTCTTCTGACATTTCCAGGTCGCTCTTCTCCATGCCATCCCCAGGACTATCCTGTGTCCCAGAGTCTTCCGCTGCAGCTTGAGGTAATGTAATGTCGCTGGACTCTGTGACCTCTGTCTCCTCCGGTTTGGTCTCAGCTGTGGTGAGGTCCTCCTCTGCATGTAAGCTCTCCTCCGGAACATTAGCAGTGCTGACATTTTTGGTGTCCTCCACAATTTCTCTTTCACTGTTGTCACCGTCACTGCTGGACAAGCTGGACGATCGTCCAGATGAGACAGATGGTGACCTTTTGACCACTGAAGGAAGAAGACAAATAATCTCTGAGTATCAGGAGTTGAAGAACACAAACAGATAGATGTATTAGACAAATATTGTTGAAAAAGGTGACCATAAAGTAATGCTAACTAGACATACTGGTGTCATCACTGTCAGTGTTGCTTTTCACTTCATTTATGTCATTTTCATCCCTGGTCTCTTTTTCTCCACCATTGGCAGCAGATGTCTTTTCCTCTACTTCATCAACATCTTCAACTGGTCCTTCATCATCTGCCTCAAAGTCTTCCTCATAGTCTATATGCGAGCATAGCATAAATATGGTCTATGAAATATTAAATAAATAAAAATGTATCCAAAATTACTTGGTATGTATTATGTATGTATCAGTATACAGTCCTGATCAAAATTATTAGCACTGTGTTGGTAAATATGGTTAAAGAAGGCTGTGAAAATAAATCTGTATTGTTTATACTTTTATATATTTTTCATTCAAAAAATTACAAAGATCTAACCTTTATTAAAGTAAAAAAAAAATTAAGTGGGGGGAAAATCTTATAAAATTAATTTTGTTTTGCACACCAGGGTGATAGGAACATGAAATTATCCAGCCATGAGTATACATATGAAGAAACACAAAGGCCTAATTCGAGTGGCCAAAGAGCCTCCAAGGATCACAGCTGGGGAATTGCAGAAATTAGTTGAGTCTTGAGGAGAGAAAGCCTCACAAAATAAGTAAAAATAAAATAAAACGGTACCTACATCACTACAATTTATTTCACAAATATATTTGTTTTTGATTGAGTTTTTTTGGAATTAAACTTTGTACCATCTTTGGTCTTTTTCTTCCCTGATGTTTCTCCATTAGGCTCAGTCTCCATTTCCAGAGGTGTGTCAGGCACAGCGTTAGAATGTGTGTGTATGTCTTCATCTACATCTGTGGCCTCCTTAGCATCTGGGGATTTAGAGGTGGGCAGCTCCTCTTTCACTCTTTTTTGAGGAGGGGTTGGTTTTTTATCCAAGCCCATGGCAATAATACACCTGATGAAGTACATCACACAAAACCATAATGCATCTTTATTAGTGATGGACCAATGTAGGTTTTTCAATGGCCAGAACCAACAATGATAAATAGGGAGTGTGGTATATATAATGCTACTGTTCGAAAGTTTGTGCTCTGTAAGATTTTTTAAATGTTTTTGAAAAAAGACTCTTGTCCTCAACCAAACTGCAGCTTATTAAAAAAATACTATAGACCATTTCACAAGATGTAAACAACACTGGTCCAGAAGCACTTCCTGTTTCAGTTTTTTAACACTACATAAAAGCTGTGATAAAATACAACCAACAGAACATTTAAAACTGAATCAAAAAGTTAAACAAACATCTTTAAGATGTTTTCTTTACATGTGAAATAAAGAAAACAGTTACAAACTGAAACAGGAAGTGTTTCTGGACCAGTGTTGTTTACATCTTGTGAAATGGTCTATAACAACAGATATATTGTGAAATATTATTACAGTTTAACTGTTTTATTACAATTTTAATGAATATTTATCAAATATAATTTTACATTATTACAATTTACTTTGATTATAAATTAATTATCAGCAGCTATAACTCGAGTCTTCAGTGTCACATGATGATCCTTCAGAAATCATTCTGATATGCATATTTGGTGCTCAGGAGGACACATTTTATTATCAATTTTGAAAAAGGTTGTGCTACTTAATATTTTGTGGATACATGTTTAATAAATTGTAAATAATAATTGTATTGTTCTAAATGTCTTTACTGTCACGTCCTTGTTGGATAAAAAAAATTAAATACAAATTAAAAATCGTACTGAGCCCAAATTTTTAAACAGTAGTATGTGTATGTGTGTGATATAAATGTTTTTTACCTCACTTATTGTGTTATTAAACTAATGCAGTTTTAAAAGTATTTCATTTTAACATTAAACACAAAAATATAATTATAGAAATGTATTATTACTTGTAGCAAGGAGAGGCTCCCTCCACCCCGCAAAATCCAAAGTGTCCATGTCTGCCCCCGAGCCGAGTGCCTTTCCTGTGTTTGAACTCACAGCAGGAGCTGAGCCTTTCCACTTGCAGGCCATTCAGGAAGAATGTAAGACTGAATGGAAATCCTTGGTGACGTCTTGACACAAATTGGAAAACTTCTACAAGTAAAGATACAGGATAGGCAAAGAAAGTTCACTTTGATTTGCTTTTGATGACTGCATCTTGAAATCAAAGAGCAGAATCACATAATATATTCTAATAAATGCAACACTGCCAGGTAAGTGCTACTCATTATCAAAAGCCCTTAGATCAGTAGTGTGATGCATGGTGTCCTTAAGATATCAATTACAAAGCACACGTGTACAGGGACCTACCTCCCTCGCTCAACATCCCTTTGTAGACACAGAGGTTCTCTCCTCCACAGTGCTGCTGGAAGACCTTGACCTCATCTCTGAGGTCCATCAAATCATGGGACAGGTGAACACTCTTCCCAAAGTATACCATGCTTACTGACACTTTACTCTGGGCTGATGTCCTCTGGAGAGAAGATGGCTGTAGATAAGAGTAATAGCAGAATATATGTGAGCGAAGATTTATTTTAATGGCTATATCAACCTTCATGTCCCAGAATACTCAGTAAATAACTTTAACATATAGACCTCTGTAGTTGGTGCTGTAGTGGGTCTTAACTTTCGACCCCTGTGTGTACCGTTCGCTCTCGGCCCTCTCTCTTTTTTCTTCGTGAGGGGCGGCACAGGGGTCACATAGTTGTTAATGACAGGAAGACGGTACGGCGAGACAGTGCTAGAGCAGTCTGTCATGGTCAAATGTCTCATGGCGTCTTTGTCCAGCTATAACAACAACCCAGAGAGACAAAAATGTTATTACTCTGCAGTTGTTTGTTTACAGCCCTGGAGACCAAGTGGAGTTCTTGTGAAGTTATATTAGAAATAAGAAAATTGTTGATTTTTTAGTAAAAATATCATAGCTTTGATCATTTGGTCTTGAAATTATTATGAGAAATATTGATATTTAATATTAATATAGCTAACTTTTTTTCATAGACTTTAGTTTATATGTTTTTTTTATATCCAAAGTTTATATGCTCATTTTTCTCAACTCTCATTTTTTGGTCAAAAATAGTTGTGCTGTCTAACAGTTTTATTAATTTGTTTTGAATTAATGATAGATTATAATTATATTATTATAAATGTTTTTACTGTCACTATTGATCACTTTAATGTGTCCTTGTTGAATAAAAGTTTTAAAGTATTAAAGTAATCATTTTATGTTTAAATATAAATTTAATGTTTTAAAATTAATGTTAATATCATAGCTTTGATAATTTGGATAATTTAATGAGTAACATTTATATCTCTGACTTTTGATTTCACAGACTTTGGTATCTCTGTTGAGATCTTTTCTCAAACACTAGGAGAAAAACATGTGAGATTATTTGGGCTTTTTTCCTCTGAAGATAAATCTAAGAAACTTTTGCTCACCATTTATTCTTATTTCTCTCTAGAAGTAACAATAGCGATATTAAAGACATCTAATTTGTGATTTCTCATTCCTACAAGAAGACACACAAAACGCTGGTCTTTGATACTTCAGCAGAGCTGTATTCAAATGAGTACAATTAGTTGGCCGAGCGTGATTTGCACTGTATTTGTACGCGACACATGATATGGGGTTTTGTAAGCAAGCATGTAAGTATCAGGAGCTGACGATGGTCTCACCGTATAACTGAGGAGCTGATCTGTGTCGTTAGAGGAGTCCCGGTCCAGGGGTCTGTGTCGAGGGGAGGTTCTCTCCAGAGAGGCCGTGGCACTGTTACTGTTCAGGGGCTTGAGACGGACAGGCCTCTGCATCTTCCCCGGAGCCGTGTTGGGCCTTGAGGAACTCGGCTACAGGAGTAAGACAACACACTTACCAAATATTAAATATGATGAATAGTAGAAAAGAATAAAAAGAATAAACTCTTGTTATGCATTTATATATATATATATATATATATATATATATATATAAATACACACAGTATATAGCACTGTTTCTGAACTCCCTGAACCACATTGATTGCAGCCTTGAGTTTTCTTCTGGGAACATACAAGTCATTTAAATAATTCCCGCCCAAGACATACACACAAAAAGTAGCACGCCTGGCTGAGTTACTTAGTTGAAACTCTTGGTTATGGTAAGGGACATTTCCGAAACACACTCGAAGCGGTTGTCCAATCATAGCCGACCAATCGGAGCACACTGCGCTTTTCGGAAGAAGGGGTTTAATAGAGACAGGAACTAAACAGAGTGTTTTTGAATAACTTGAACGTAAACTAGTTAAACTGAGATCTTAACATGTGGGTTTGAAAAAAGGTATCTAGAGAAACCAGAGCAAACAAAAAAGCTCATGTGTCATCAATCTGCTGGAGCAGTAACTCTCAAGGTGCCTAAAACGTCAACAGGCAAACATCCATGATGGGAACCACCACACCGCTTCATATCACCTTCTGTTAAACATGTCAGAGCCTAATGAGCAAACAAATGATCTGAATCTAAAATTAAGCAACCATTAGACTAGCTAGGTAACTATGTAGAATAAACATTAAGCAGATTATACAATTATTATATCTTTTAATAGAAGAGGCAGGATATGAATTAACAGCACATCACTAGAACAGTCATCTGTAATACAGAATTGAAGTGCGCTTAGGTGGTACCTGTTAATTGTTTGCTATGTAAACTGTGAGGAAATGGCTAGTTTGTACAGCTATTTTAGCCATTATTAACTGATATGGGCCACTCACAGATTCTGTTGACTCGGAATGCTCTCCCTCCGGCCCAGAATGCCGTACGTGAGAGATCTTCGGCCCCGTGGGTGGCCGAGGTGACAGCATTAGCATTGGTTCATCTTCATATCTCTTGGAGCGCTCAGCCTAGCATAAAGCGCAAAAGGTTGAATCACAAAATGTGCTTTATTACCAAGTCACCAAGGCCAAGGAGTTTTGTAAACATGACAAACCTTTATTTTGTGGATTCGTTCCCTTCGTGCAAATTCCTCAAGTTTTCTCTTGATCTCGGATTGATGAAGGCGCTAGATAAACAGAGGAAAAAATTAAATATATAAAATACTTTTTTGCCTTAGTACAGGATCTATTTGCATATTTGATATCCATACTTCAGAAACGTTTAATTCTTAAGCACTTTTTAACTTGATTAAAAGATGAATACAGTATAGACTACTATATGTGAATAGGATATTAGCATTACCCTTACTTTATGACACAACACAACATTCTAGCCTAATAGAGCTCCTGGTGTAGTCTGCATAATGCTCTCACCTCCATGTCTAGCACCTTGTGAAAGATGGCCTGAGCCAGACACTCTCTCACATGTCTCTGATGTGCTCGCTGGATCAGCTTGTGCCTGTACTCCTTATCAGGAACAATCCGTCCGCTCCGGGAGATCTGAAGCACATGCACCTGCATTTAATGACTGAAGCATCTGATCTTGTATAACATAAAAGTGCTTTTCCTTTCATCCTTTAACAGGTTATATATAAAGTGATCATTATGAGAATGCTAATTAACTTACATAAACAGAGATTGATTCATATATGAGAGATGTTAGTTTGTAAATATTTTAACTTCTCAGAATTATCAAATCTCTAGGTTAATCCCAATGAAAATACATAACATCATTCTTTTCTAGCTTGACTATCTTACCAGCCCAACCTTCTGAAGATGTCTCCGTATTCTCACATTGTTGAAGTATCCAGTCAGATGTTTGTCAGTTAAGCTATTGTAAGCTGAAATAAGACTACAAAGACAAATACATTATAAACAATGTATAAAAAAACAGTCTGTAGGCCTACATTAAAACATTCCTATAACTCATCCCAGGCGTCATGGAGTTGTAATGTAAGGACGGGCCTGACCAGGCTGATGGAATGATTCAGTGATCCTCAAGGCCAGCAGTGCCAAGGATTTCAGCTTGAGGTGAACACTCTACATCTGTGTCAAGTGTAGTCTTGGAAATGCTCGACTGTTTGTCTGCCTGGCTTTTTCCGATACAGATTTGATTTCCCCGAGCGTTTGTAAAGAAGACAACACAACCTGTACATCAATCCTCAGGCCAAGTAGATACCATTACCAGTGTCTGGTTTCTATTGGAATTGAGTGTGGATGGATAGCACACTTAATCCATGGCCCCCCATTGATTGAATTCATTTCTCCCTCTAAAATAGTTCAGAAATTAAACATGATTGTGCAAGACAGCCATAGGAAACATTTAAGTTGACTTAAATCTAATTAATTGTGTCTTATTTAACATGTCAGACATACATTTAGTATGACAGCTATATATTTGAGGTATGTTCAACAAATAAACAAAATTAATTTCAGTTCAACATTCAATTCAAGTCTTGCATGAACAATATTGCCTGTCCTTTGCGGATGGTTGATCTATTGCTGTTGTTTTATCTCCACAGTAACAAGATCGTTTGGTCATATAGTGTCTTGCCATAGAAATAAAGTTGAAAATTAATCATTATAATGCATACTGCTTGGTAATGCAAATGGCAGTCTGACAGGACAGCTAGTTATAGCATTTAATATAGTAACGTAACATTTCAGTCAACACTGCAACTTAGTCTAGCTTAGTTACTCACCCTGGGTTCAGATGACTCATTTTGTCGGCGCGTGGTGATCTTTGATATGAATAGAGCAAACAAGCGATAATTCTAGAGTTTTCTTGAATCCAGGGGACATTAAAACTATGTGTGCATCCCGTCTGCCCAGCTCTGAATACTCAACACCTTTCCTCGCGAGGAACTGATGACAGCCTGCGTTGCCATGGTGAATCACGTGATGATGCCAATAACTCTACGCATTCTTTGTGCTTTGTTTTTATACGACATTACTTAAACAAGTTCATATTTATACGTCTAAAAGTCAAATGGACATGGATAAATATCTGAAGTGTCAATAAAAATACAGGTCTTATTAGATTAAAATGGAAAAATAAAAAACAAAAAATGATGGTTATGTTATGTATTATGTAGCTGTAACATATTGTTTTTGTCAGATGTTATGGTTTTGTAGATTTTATTTTATTAAACGTGGGGATAGTTAATGTAGGTCAGGTTCCAATAAGCCTTAAGGCTGTACATTGATGCCCTCTAGTGTTTTCACTGGAGATTGTCTGTACAAACTGAAGGAATCACTGAACCAAAGATAGATATTTTATATTGCTGATATTTCAATGCAGTGACATAATTTCGGCCTTTCATTCTTGGAAACACACACACACACACACAAATACACACACACAAACTTAATTTGTGTGACAAAAAAGTGAATCAACTTTACTTACTAGATAGAAGTACTAGATAGGGGATAGAATATACAGTTTGCACAGTATAAAAATCATCACGGAGAGTCCTCATAAAAGAAACCCAACACTGTGTGAGAGTGTGTGTGTGGTCCATGGAAATCCTATACGTTATGAGGACAAAATATCCCTACAAAGATGGCATTATCCGAAATCCTTGTCCGTGTGGACATCTTTTGGTCCCCATAAGGAAAACAGCTTATAAATAAGACTAAATTATTATTTTTGAAAATAAAAACGTGCAGAAAGTTTTCTGTGATGGGTTTAGGGCTAGGGTTAGTGTAATAGTATACAGTTTGTACAGTATAAAAATCATTATGTCTACAGATAGTCCCCATAAAACATGAAAACTCAACATCTGAAAACACAACAACGTGTGTGTGTGTGTGTCGGATGGCATGGGATTGTCGCAGTGTTTGGATGTGTAGTGGGTGGCACTGCAGCAAGTGCAATCAGTGTTAGATTGGACATTTGTGCTGTGATTGTGGAGAAGGCAATCACTTCCTGATTAGGGCATTTTTCCACAACTCCCTGATTGGACAGACAGACATGCAGTCCTACAGTTCATCACTCAAAACATGCAGGCTGAAGGCCTCATCAGAGTGCACGACGAGAATTTACATTGTTGCACTTTGTTAAAAATTTATATAAATAATAGCTATTTTTAACAATTAAATACGTTAAAAAAAAATCACCGCACTGAAACCTCCCAAAAACTCCATAACTTAAAACAATGAACATTAGGCTGCATGCCTTTCAAACAAAATTAATAAACAACAGATCCCAATGTCAAAATCAAGTTAAAAATATTTTTTATTATTATAGTTTTCATCATCTAGCCTACACAGTTAATTAAACAGATATCAGCCTTTAGGCATAATTGCTGAAATTTGGTTAAAATGATTAAAAAGAGACCCCATAATCTATTATACATAGGCTATTTGATAATTAACGAACAAAGCCTAATCCTCATTAGGCCATCGACAATATTAGGCTGCTAGCCTATATTATACTATTAATATTTTACATTATTATCCTTTAAGCCATTAAGTAGCCTATTAATAAGATAAAGGAACATATTTTAAAACATCCAAACTGTGTAGGTTTTGCAGCACAGTCAATTTGACAAGACTTTAAAATTGAATAATTAAAATTAAAACTCTAATTTTCAATTACCGGAAATTGATTTAGGCCAACACATTGTTTAATTCTGGAACAACTACCATGAACAAATAAATACAGTGAAAGCGCTTTACATGCCATAATGATGAATTGATTTTTTTTTTTTTTGTCCCGGTGTGATGCGTTCAGTGCACAGTTCGTTAGAAATATTTCCATCATTTCCCCTAAATTATACCAGAAGAAGAAAAGAACCCGCCTTGAAATCGCAGCAATTAAGTGTCAAGAGTTTAATGAGACCTCTTCACCTTTGGGTCGCTCTGGTTGAGCATTTGTGCCAAACGTGTGGCTTTTAATTGCTGTTATTAAATAAATCAATTCTCTTCTTCCTCTGATTCTTCAGAGGTTTTGACTGGCATTCGTAATTGATACGTTTGGGGTTAAGGCATTATGTGTGAACCGTTTCCGAACGCCTAATGCTGATTTCAAGTACATAATACATGCACAGATAACCATTAGCTTCTAACAGTCGGACGTGGTTTAATAATGACTGAAATTCTTAAAGTCTAAATGCTGTTTTGGCTGGCTATTGGTTGTGGTTGTCATGGGGAAGAGAAGATTGGGTGATGTTTATGGGATGGAGCGCTTACATTTAAAGGCTGTTTCGATGGGGACTTCGGAAATCCGGAGAGCATTCACCACAGTCATGTCTACGGGTCGCAGTGAGGATTTTACCAACAAGTGCAGAGAAGTTACAAGTGACGTTTGCATGGTAAATATTTTTTATATATTTTTTGCTTGACCAGAAACCGAAGCCATCTATAGACCAGTCAGTAATAGGCTAACTTACTAGCTGAAATTGTATTGTTGAGGAGGGTCATATAGCCAATTTTGTGGTCCAACATTGAGGATCATCTCTCGCAAACCGTTGGCGTCCTTGGCTAAATACTTAATATAGACTACTTTTAAAATTTACAAATTAAAATTAAAAACACAGTTCTATCATATACGTGTGATATGAATACTACAACAATAACAACATAAAAAACCGTCAAAAAAGGAAAATAACCTACCTGTGCTTTGCCGAATACCGACCGCGATTAATAATTTGGCGGCGGAAATGCGATTTATTTATTACTGGAATATTGATAGAAAATGTTATTTAACCATATAGGCGCCTATATTTGATATTCGCATTCAAAGAAGTGCATAGTTTAAATATAACTTTCAATTGTGTTGAACAAACTGTAGGGGAGTGCGGGGCACAACCGGGCACAACGTAACGTGGGTTAATTGTAACATAAATACTTCCACACCAGCATGACGAAACTTGGTGTATTTACTAGTTGCCATTTCAAACACTATGTAGTAACTTATGTATAGAAAAAAATGCGCCAAAATTCAGAGATCTTTGTAAGACTGAACATTTAACCATGGCAAAAGTACATTTCTTACTAAATTTAATTTTCCATCTCTGTTTTTGTGTTTATTTAAAATTAGACAAATCTGATATTATTTTAATCTCCAATCTGTTGTTTAACAGTTGATATAGTTGTTTAATGCCTTGCTAACTAGCAGAAGACACTCGCATAGTTTAAACCACAGTTTTGCAGTTGGGGCATGTTGAAACCACTTGCGTTACAATATGCCCCTATAAGAACTATGATATTATATTCTACACTTTTGTTGAGAAAACATGAGAAACATGCAAATAAAGACTGAGAGTCAATGTTCAGAAATTAATTATTATTTTGTTTTGAACTATGCTGTTTTTCATGTGTTTATTGTCAATCTCAAAAAATGAGTTTATTTTTAATTATTAGAAAATGCCATTATTTTATATGAAAAAGTTAATAATTGTATTTTATTAAGAAAATATTTTGGTTTGACTTGTATATTTTTTTATTTGAACAGATAGCATTTTAAGCTGTCATGGTGATGTTATAATGTGCCTATGGGGCATGTAGCCACATTTCACTTCCATTCTTTCGGGGTAAATCAAGTAAAAAGTATACACTGTATTAATAAAACAAAACCACATAATTGTACTAGACATGTGGGAAATTAATGTGGAAAAAAAATAATACTAAGTAGATTTACACAAACTGAGAAAGTCAAAAAGCGTTACGTTGTGCCCCGCTCTCCCCCTAGACTGTAACAGATCAATTATGAGTTATGAAAACATGTTTTACATTGCACACTCATCAAAATAAGTTAATACGTATTAAACTTAAATTATACAAGATTCAACACATTTTAAAGCAATGTTTGAATGTATAATTTCTGTTTCTACAGATTTCATCAGAACTTGTGAATGACCGATTAGATCCTGCTTCTCCGTCTGCTTTACCCCAAGCAATGGCTTCTGATGCTTTTCAAGGCAAAGTAGTTTGCACGGGGTGTAGAGATGACATCCTAGACAGGTATCTACTTAAGGTGAGGAGGATTTTTTTCCTTTAAAATATTTATTCATAGACAATTTGGCTGCATGATTCTAATTTAATATAATTTCTTACACCTGGTAATTATTGAACGCAGGTAAATGACTTGTGCTGGCATGTGCGATGCCTTTCATGCAGTTTATGCCAAACCACTCTCAGCGGAAACACAACCTGCTATGTTAGAGGGCGAGAGGTCTTCTGCAAACTAGATTACTTCAGGTATTTCTTCTGAAGATGTACAGCATGATATATGCTTACAAGACGTTTCAGTATGCATTTAACCTAATCCAAACATAATTATGGATGTTTGACAGAAGGTATCGGACATGGTGCTCGTGCTGTGGGGAAACAGTTCAATCTTCGGACTGGGTACACAGGGCGAAGGGAAACGTTTACCACCTGGCATGCTTCTCGTGCTTCTCCTGTAAGAGGCAGCTGTCCACAGGCGAGGAGTTTGCATTGGTTGGGCAAAAATTGTTGTGTCGAATTCATTACGACAGCATGCTGGACAAACTCAAAGGGTCCTCTGAAAAAGGTGAGAGTCATGCATGCATACAGGGGACATACTTTAAAAGCCAATAAATTTGATACGCACATTTCTAAGGCCTCTAAATTATCAACATGATCAAAATGTTGCTGAAAAAACTGTTGTATACAACCTTCTGTATTCTTAAGACCTTTTGGTATAATTAAAAAAAAAAAGGTCCAAATTCAGGTTGTGGTACACATCTTTTTGCTGTGAGATTTTTATAATGTGAACATAAGAATACATGATATATATATATATATATCTACTTGCTGGACTGAAGCAACTTTTTGGAAAAATCATGTTAAAATGCAAGTATATCAAATATGATGCTGTACATCAGGCTTTTGCAAAAATGTTTGTATGTCGCTCATTGTATTGCATTGCATTATATGCTTTGTCCCCCACAATATTTAAGTTTTGATCATAAAACAATATAATTATTCTAAGAAATATTATTAGGATCCACAGAGTGACAACAACTGATATTTATACGGATTTCATTTAATAGTCTGCTTTACTGTTATGAAGATCCAATTGATTTACCTTACTAAACATTTCAGCTTATTTAGCCACATACTGTATGAGCAAATCGCATATTTTTGCTCAGTTTAGGTCTCTGAATTAAGTATGAGCTCCATATTCTCATATATCATACTATGAGCCATGAAAGCCTGATGTAACAAATAAGACACTTAACAACATAGTATCCAAACTCTTTTTTTTTTTTTGTCTAAAGGTTCTCTAAACTGTTCAATTAAAAAAATCATTAGACTATTATTTCATGTCAGGCTTTACAGGGTTAAACTATTATTTACATAGTTTGGGTAAAAATAATACAAACCAAGATATCTTAGGGGAAAAAAGCAGTTGTTTAGTTTTGATAGATGGGCTGCTGGTCTTGTTTTCTAGTTTGTAGCAGGCTCTGTCTGAAAAAATAATTACAATAATAAATAAAATAATTACCTTTTATGTATTGCCTACAGGTTGTGAAATAAACCAAAAGCTGTCAAAAAGAGCACGTACCAGTTTCACTTCCGACCAGCTACGGGTAAATCATCACTCTCGCTGTGAACTGAATGTGTCCCAAATGAGTTCAATAAAAGAAATAATCGATCCCTGCTTGTCCTCTGCACAGTTTTCCCACTCCCTTACTGACTCTGATCCCGCTGACACTATTCTATGTCTATGTTTGCAGGTTATGCAGGCTCAGTTTGCTCAGGACAATAACCCAGACGCACAGACACTTCAGAGGCTTGCTGAACAGACTGGGCTTAGTCGACGCGTCATTCAGGTTACATTTCTTTAGCAATATCTAAAGTGCCTAAATTGAGCCGTTATAAATTTGTAAAGTTGTTTTACCATTCGCAGAAGAGAATGCGTATGTTGTCTAAATAATTTCTTCAAATTTCTATCTGGTCAGGTCTGGTTTCAAAACTGTCGTGCCCGTCAGAAGAAGAACATCTCTCCCTCTCATTCAGGAATAACGGCAGGAGGTCTGTCGTCACTCCGGGTGGTTCCCAACCTAAATGAACTGATTTATACAAACACATCCACGCTTACAGCCTTACACAGCATCTGCATCGATGGTGAGATTTAAGGAAATGTAGTACAATTAGCCAAGTACTATTTAAAGAGTACTTTATCAGTCTTTAGTGTAGAAAACTGTTCTGATATAGCAGAGATACTGGAAGAATTTGATGATTTGATGAAAACATATCTTTCCTCCTTATTTCAAACTGCAGAAATCACCACACAATACCAATCCAAGACACAATGTTCAATTCACGAGGGAGCAGATTTCCAATGAACCTGCCAAATTGGTTCTGAAAGCGCATTGAAAGATTCATATGAGAATCAGACCGATTCGACCAAACCGATCGCAGCTGTTCTTGAGTCAACAACTAACTGATTTAACGATTGGGTCAAAGACTTGACACTTGACTTGGACCTCAAAGAGTTGAAACTTGACTTGGACTTAGAAGCTTGGACCTCAAAGACTTGAGAATTGACTTGGACCTCAAAGACTTGTAAACATGTCTGGGAAAAGGTGTGTCAAGATGACATAAATTTGTTCCTATGTTAATGGCTCTGTTTCTCTTTTATCTTCAGTTCACACACCAACATCTCTACTCTATCAGCCATTACTGTCCCAACAACTACTGACCAGCAGCAGCTAAACATTTAACAATTCAGTAGTAAATGTTGTGCCAATTAATATAACAATATTTATGCAACTAATACATTTCTATTACATGTATTCATTAGTTTGTTTTAATTTATTAATGTGTATTTTGTTCCCATCACATACGGTTTAAGTAAAAATAACTTGTGTCTATATGAAATACTTTATTTCCAAATTGATCCTTGCATGCATTTGGATTACATCATACATTGTTATTATGCATTGTAAATTAGCATAATATAAAGTCACAAAAATAATAAAAATGTTTACCACACTGTAAAACAAGAGAATTAAATAAAGTGAAATACTAATAAGATAAGGGTTAAACTAAAGAATAATGCAATTTAAATTAATTATGAGAGCTGATTTTAATTTCAGCACAAGCACTCATTGTTGTAGTGTTCACATTCAAGTGTTCTTAACATAAAAATGGTACGGAATACATATTAGAAGAAACATCCCTTTCAAATGATGAGCATTGTATAAAAAAAGGAGGTAAAACTTCAAATGGTTTGTAATCGCATAACTTCATCAAAATATGAGCAATTAGTCCACCTTACTATAACAACCAATATTCTGTACGCATTCATATAAAGGTGTTATGAACATAAATTCAAGTCCTTGGCTAAAATGAAGTGTGAATGGACACAATGAAATCTCTGAAGGAGCGAGGGGTGTAACCTCCTGCTGCTAGAGAGCAATGGATCTGACGAGAAATGCAGTTGGATGGATGAATAAGAGCAGTAATGAAGGAATAAATAATTTAAAGCTCTGCACAGCAGAAAAGGGCTCAAATCAACATGTGGTTGAGGTTAAAAGAGATGTTAACGGCATGTTGGAGTAAGGCACTTCAGCTGAACTGCAAACAGTAACTTAAAAAAGTTCATTTAGTGAGGAGCAATTAAATGCGTTACCGGTCAGTTTCTCAATATGAGAAAAGTGGCAGTTTCACCCCAAACGGGTGCTAACAGAATGCAATGGTCATGTAAAAGACAAGAATCAGTAAAAACAAACAAAAAAACATTAAAATCTATGAAAATTAGGGGTGTAACGATACCCTCATGTCACGATTCGATACATATCGCGATACGATATTATTGCGATACTCCAAGACATATGATAAAAGGTTATGAAAAAATGTACTGTTAATTTAAATGCTAACTTTGATATTACATTGTGGGTTTAAATGAATAGGTTTGGACTAGGTGCTTGTAACCCAAGGACAATGGTGACACCAGAATAAAAATATTCATGATTCTGAAGCTGAAAATACAGAATTATTTTAGACGAATATGCTTGTACTCGGTCACTGACTAGATACATTTTAAAATAACGTCGGCCACTTTTTACTGGTAACACCAGACATTTGGCATTATCAGGATCCACAAAAATTCCCCCATTGCATTATTATACATTTTAATCAACATTGTGTATAGTAGTTTAATGTAGTACTGACACTAAAACTCTGAAAAAATTGATTTTTTTTCTCGCACAGTAATTTTTATTTTGGGGGAACTTTCTATTGCGATATATTGTGGCACGATATATTGTTACACCCCTAGTGAAATGCATAGACACAAACACACCTACAAACAGGAAATAATCTGATGATTTAGATGGTTACCGTCAATTATATATACTTTTATAATAAGATGCAGATCAGTTTGAAGACTGTTGTATTTATGTTTTTGGGCTTCTAATAAGATTTATAACACGGAAGCTGCCTACGGACATGACTGAATATTGCCTGAAGAAGTCCATTTAGGATGCTGATGGTCAGGAAACGTCCGTTTTTCATGTCAGTGCCTTTTTGTTGGTTGCTGCGTTTATTTTCTACCTTTCTTTTTGTCCTCTGGTCTCTTGTGGTTCTTCTTGTTGAGGATGGCTCGCAGGCTGCCGCCCATGTAATACGGGCGGCTTGCTGAGCCGTCGTTCTTCTCCAGATCAAGCACTGAGAACAGAAGCATAAGCAACGTTAATGCCAAACAATCGTTAATGTGATTTTGTCTGCAATCAGAGGCAATGCTGGATATTGGGATACAAGGAAAACTTAACAACTGGAGAAAGTTATACTGCATATCAGAAAAAGTATACATACAGTGGTGGACAAAAGTGATGTTCGGCCTAGGAAGGAATATTTACATCTTTAACACATTTTTACTAATATTTTTATAAAGGGTAAAGATTTTGTAACCATATTGCACAGTCAAATTGTTTTATTTTTGATAAAGCAATGAAACATGCCAAATTGTGCAGGCTTGTCATACAAAGAAATGATAAACAAATGCATGGGATTTTCAATTCTTTAGCTATTTTCTTACAGCCACTTTCTATTTTGTGATGTTCAACAATCTTTTGATGCACATTCTTTGGTTTTACTCAATGTGATGAATGATTAAGAGGATTTGGCCTTTGTGTTTCCTCATATTTAAATTCCTGTGAAACATGAAGTCATGGCTGGACACTTTCATGTTCCTAGTCACCTTGGTGTGCTAAAAATTTTAAATATTAATGGGAATATCCTTCAAAGACATTTTACAGTTAATTTTTTTCATCGTGCTATCAATCAATCAATCAGCCAACGTGTTTTGGATAAAAACATTTATTTCATAATGTGATTTCCACCCCAATTTCAATTCTTTTATTTCAAAAGTGAAAATGAAAAGTTTTTTTTAATGAAAAATCAAAAGGATAAATACTGCATATTTATTTTTTACAGACATTTTTGATCATATTTACCAGGGGTGCCATTAATTCTGACCACAGTAATAATTAATAAATAATTATTTTCTCATATTTTGATGGTTTATAAAACTTAATAGAACTTTAAATATTTTTAATGCATTAAACTGAAAAAAAAAAAAAATGAATCGCAGCCGTTCACACTAATTTTAACAGCACTAATATAAATATAATCTTTTTTTTTTTATTAAACTTAGAATGTCAACAAAATTGATGATAAAAAGAAAGAATCAAACCAATAATAATAATAATATTTAATTACTTTATTCTAATTGAAAAAAAAAACATTCTATTTTTACAAAACTTTCCCCATTAAAAGACAACTTGTACTGAACTCCTCAGAGTTGATGCAGCATCAAACCTGTCTACATATTACAAAATTACAAAAATGGCTTTTATGTTCCTTTTATAAATTGAACTGGAAAAACTTTCAGACTGATTGCAAAAAACAAAGAAGAGCAGTACTCCTCCTTTTAAACTAGGCACATTTACTAAATACTGCCATCAGAACACCTGGCAATTCATAGATTATATCAAAACATGGTTGTTAAAAGAGAAAATACACTGTATCTATTATGAATCCTCCAATACAATAACATTTGCCATTCGATTATGATAAAGTTAATATTAAATTATGTGGCACATGGACTGAGAATCAATCCGTCCACATGCACATCCTATATATACTGCATGATCTTATAAACCAGAAATGACATGAAAACAAAGAGTTGTATAGAAAGAGAAGGATACTGCAAGATTCAAGATCTTTTCTCATTAGAGAATAAATATATAGAATAGTTTGCTTTCATAATTGGCAACCAGAATATCATCAGACTTTAATCCGGTTACTTTGCTTCCAGAAGACAAACAATGTGTAAGGCAATGATGGACAGAATATCAGCAAAGAGAAATGGAAGGGAAATAGGAGGACAAAGTAGAGCAAGAACCAGTCAGAATCAGCAGAGAGGAGACCGCTTCTATAAATGCTATCGGCTCCTGATTCCATATCCCAGAATGCCTTGCTCTGCTGTGGAGAGATGCAGCGTGCTACAGTACTAACGCAGTTCCTCACGTCCCACTGAGGTAACAGTTTCAGGACACAGCATACTTTTTGCCTGCTTGATCATTTTTGTTAAGTATGCTGTGCAGGCCTCGAGGCATGTAATACGGTTTGGAAGGACTGCCATCGTTCCTTTCGAGATCTTCACCTGAAGGGTGTCCCCGGAAAAATCAGACGACGGAAGAATGGAAGAGGGAAGGAGAAAAGACACAGTGTTGCAAGGAAAAAAGGGGTCAAAGAAATAAGAGTTAGTGATTAGTCTTGCAGTTCAAGAAGATGTGAAGAGAATAAATACATAAAGATCACATTAGGATTAGAAATAAAGAAACAGAAAAGATAAAAGTCATGCACAGAAAAAGAAGAGGAAAGTAAAGGAAGAATAATGTGTATGTATTTAATTTGAAAACAGAATTTATTACCAAACACGCATACCAGCATGGGAATATTGCAGATTTAATAAGGTGTACTTACAGAAGCAGAGGAACAATGTATCTACACACATGGCATAGACGTTAAAGAATCCGTGTGCAATCATATAGGATCCAAATATCACAGTCTGTGGAGGGAAAAAAGATTACGAGAGAAATTAGTCACAATGAAATCAAAATGAAAACATTACTTTCCAATGGACAAAGTCCCGCCTCCCATTTGTTCTTGTTTGAGAAGATGTTTAACTTGTGTATGCCTACTTCACAATATGGAATAAAAGGTCATCATGAATTTAGTTTCATGCCGTCTTTAAAGGTGAGGGTTCCCATACCCTCTTTGATCAATGAGAATTTCTTTAAAATAAATGTATTTATTAATAAACTAAACTAACAAATATATACAAATAGTAGACTTTGCAGAGTGCTTGACTCTTGCATTGTCAATACAAGATCTTGACCAAAAATATATGCACCATTCAAAACAACATTTATTTCTATCAAGAGTTGCATACATTTTTGGTCAAGATCTTGTATTGTGTCAATGCTAGAGTCAATCACTTTGTAAAGTCTCCTCCAGCACATCTCAAAAGACTTTCAATGAATTTAAAGTCTGGACTCAGAGGTGCCAATTCATGTGTAAAAGTGATTCTTCATGCTCCCTCCCAACTATTATTTCATAATTTGAGCCCGATGAATATTGACATTGTTCTCCTGGAATATGGCTGTGATGCGTCTTTCTACATGGTTGTTTAAGAAATGAAAAGCTACACACTCCATCAATTAGGTTAGAAGAATTGTTGCCAAAAATATAACATGCTAGAAACATAATAATCACTGCAATAAGAATCCAATCATAGACTCTTAAAGGGATACTCCACTTTTTTTGCAAATAGGCTCATTTTACCACTCCCCCAGAATTAAACAGTTGGGTTTTACCGTTTTCGAATGTATTCAGCCGATTGTTTGATATTTAGAAGAATATCAGAAGTCAATGAAACCAGAAACTGTCTAGTTACTGATAAAATCGGCTAAATGGATTTGAAAATGGTAAAACTCAACTGTTTAACTCTGGGGGAGTGGTAAAATGAGCCTATTTCCAAAAAAAAGTGGAGTATCCCTTTAAGCATTTGCCTATTTCAATCCAAACACTGACTTTTTTGGCCAGGCAGTGCATATTAAAAATTTAAAAAATAAATATTTTACAAATATGAATCTATTAATATTTAAATCTTAAAGATTGCAGAAGAATGAAATCGGAGAAATCACTTTTACAACAAATAAAAGCATAATTTAACATAAGCAAGCTGTGATGCATTCACTCACCAGTAGAGGGACCCAATAATAATTTAATGATGGCACCTCTTCCTGGATCACTGGTATTTGGCGAGTGAAGAAAAAGAACGCAAGGACACCTGCGAAAAACATTCACAACATCAGCGAACAAAACGAGCCTGCAAACAATGTTTCATTTATGTGTGTATGTAGGCAGTAGGTCTACGCAGTGTGTGTGTGTGTTTGTTTAAAGCCCTCAGACTCTACTAGTCTTAATGTTTCCCCGTCTGTATGACACAGATGAACGTTGACTCACCCACACTCCCTGAGATCAGCAGTTTTCCCAAGAACAACAGGAAGTCAGTCACCTTGTCCAGAACAGCAACTCTAAAC